GAATCTTAAAAGAAGAAAGGCCACGTCACACTATTAACGGCCTTTTCTACACCTAAGAAAGTCAACTTCTTTTTCATTATGTTGCTCCACATGTTCCAAAATGCCCAAAGCACATCTTAACATTCTCCTTTTAATTGATTTTTTTAGGTGAAATCCCCACACATCCTCATGAATAAACCTCTGCAAAATTATTTTCAGTCTATCAACTGAGATGCAAACAGTCCTTGACCTACAACAATTTGTTTAGTGACTGTTCAAAGTTATGATGGCACTGAAAAAGGTGACTTAACAATCATTTTTCACACTTAATGACCGTTGTGGCATCCCTATGGTCACGTGATCAAAAATTTCAGATGTGTGACCCATATTTATGACAATTGCCGTTATCCGGGGTCCCTTTTTGTGACCTGACAAAGTCCATAGGGAAGCCAGATTCACTTAACAAGTGTGTGACTAATGTAACACCTGCTGTGATTCACTTAACAACTGGTTTTAGGCATCGCACTCATATTCCAACTTGCAAACTGTAACCAATCACTCAGCATGGGTGAACTTGGCACTCGTGGGCCATCCAAGAAACCACGTTCAAGCAAACCATCCTTTACCACCATGTGCCAAGCTAGCCGAATGCAAAATACAGGTAGTCTTTTTGACTTACGACCACGACTGAATGTTCTGCCCCAGCTACGGACCCCAAAGAACGCATCACACACAAAGTCCGTACAAACCTTAGTTTACTAATTACGGACTACTAATGAGCTTTCTTAGTAGTTGTTCGAACACAAGAACAGTTTAAATCAGTCTTTTCTGAGCAAGGGCTGTTCATTTAATTTCATTAACAGCCAACAAAAATCCAAAGAGTAATAACTCAATTCTGAGGCACGGTCTTTCAGATAACCGTAATCTTACTGTGGTTGGCAGAATGCCCAGAAACAATTTGCAGGAAAACTGACAAGAGAGAAACAAGAGCCGAATCAAACGTTCCTGGAATCAAGACGCAAAGGAATATGAACTAAGTTGTTTCCTGCAAATTGCATCAGTGAGCCTCTCACTGTTCTGCCCCAACTACAGACCCCAAAGAACGCAGCACGCACAAAGTCCGTTCAAACCTTGGTTTACTAAATAAATCAGTCTTTTACAACACCGGCTGTTAATTAACTGCATTAACAGCCGCCAAGAATTCAAAGAATAATAACTAAAAGCTTACTGTGGTTGGCAGAATGCCCAGAAGCAATTCGCAGAAAGCTGATAAGCAAGACAAGACACGAAAGTATGTGAACGAAGTTGTTCCCTGCAAATTGCTTCAGTTGGCATTCCTCCTTAAGTAGGCTAAGGGAGTGGCCAATTAGCCCCAAGCCTTACTCTCGAGGAGACCTCCTCCTGAGGAGCCACTCCTGCCTTTTGGCAGCTCTGCGCACCCGTGCATTGAGAAGAGGCTCCTCCTCTTCTTCCTCTTCACCCATGGAAGCTTCTGGAGGTTCTGAAGGCCCTGGCTGAATCCCCACCTCTGGCACCACATCTTCTCCAGCCTCCTCATTGTCCGACTCTAGTGCCAGCTGCACAGGCTGCTGGCGCAGCACCACACCAGCCTCCTCACTGTCTGAATCGGCTACTAGCTGCACAGGCTGCGTACGGGCCACAACACCCACCGGTTTTACTACCGGTTCTATAGAACCGGTGTGAACCGGGGGCAACCCACCACTGGCGCAGAAGCTTCTGCACATGTGCAGAGCGTATTTGATGACATCCGGCCAGGTGGGCGGAGCCTCCTGCTGCCGCTACCGATAGCAACCTACCACTGGTGCCCTTGTAACTTCGAATGGTCACTCAATGAACTGTTGTAAGTCAAGGACTTTCTGTATCCACTTATGGACAAACTGGATCTTCAATCCAGTTTTCGTGACCAAAATTTACAGGCGGAAATTCAAATCCTGTGGCCGGGGGTAGGGGAGGGGGACACAATTTCTTTGTTTTAAGGCAGGGTAGCACAACAGTTCTAAAGAGCATATATTCCAGAAGGAAGGACCCCCTCACTCTCTCCCTCTCTCTCTCCTTCTCTCCCTCTCTCTCCCTCCCTCTCTCTCTCCTTCTCTCCCTCTCTCTCCCTCCCTCCCTCTCCTTCTCTCCCACTCTTCCCCTCCCTCCCTCCCTCCCTCTCTCTCTTTCCCTCTCTCTCCCTCTCCCTCCCTCTCTCCTTCTCTCCCCCTCCCTCCTTTTCCCTCTCTCCTTCTCTCCCTCTCCCCCCCTCCCTCCCTCTCTCCCACTCCCTCCCTCTCTTTCTCTCCCTCTCTCTCTCCCCCTCCCTCCCTCCCCCTCCCTCCCTCTCTTTCCCTCTCTCTCTCTCTCTCCCCCCATGCATTTGCTGAAGGCATGTTTGGAACCGTGGGCTCCAAAAGGGTTCAAAACCCCCAAGGCAGCTTGCTCCCAAGCCAACAGCTGATCTACTTTTCTCATTTAAATTTTTGACACCTCATGGTTTGGATACCCACACCCATACCTTTGCCCTACAAGTGTGCGAACCCAGCCCTCGACGGGTTGTTTTAATTTCAGGTGAGGATTTTGCAAGACGAATGACACAATGCTTCCCAACAGTTTTTGGCTGGGCCCGCTCTGCTCTGTATTGTAAAATGCCAGGCAGGAAGCAAACTCTTCGCCCAACCAAGAACCCCCTCCCCCAAAAAAAACCCTCTTAAATTTTTGCATGCAAGAATTGGTGGAGTTGCTAAGAGCAACTGGAGGATTGGACAAAAGGACACCCGCTGTGTTCTCACAATCCCGCAAACTCATCAACCCCCCCACTTCTGGGCTAACCCTCAGCTAAACTCAACAACATTGGTTTATATTAATATTACATTAAGCCCAGGAATGGGCTTCAATCATTTTAACAAGGGGTTCCCTGCCCGGTTGCTGGGTGAGCGTGGCCATGGCTGGGTGTGGCCTAGTCGGCCTCCTGCACCATGGCGGAGGGGGGCAATTTTTGCCCTCCCCAGCTCCGGAGGTTTTCCTCAGCCTCTGGGAGGGCGAAAACAGCCTCCCCAGGCTCCGGAGGCCCTCTGGAGGCCTTCCCGAATTTCTGGTAGGCCCGTTTTTTCACCTTCCCCGAACTTCCGGTAGGCCCGTTGGTGGGTGAGCGTGGCCATGGGTGGGTGTGGCAGTCGGCCTCCTGCATCATGGAAGGGGGCAATTTTTGCCCTCCCCAGCTCCGGAGGTTTCCTCGAGCCTCTGGAGGGCGAAAACGGCCTCCCCAGCTCCGGAGGCCCTCTGGAGGCCTTCCCGAATTTCTGGTAGGCCCGTTTTTCACCTTCCCCGAACTTCCGGTAGCCCGGTTGGTGGTGAGCCCTGGGTGGGTGTGGCCTAGTCGGCCTCCTGCATCATGGCAGAGGGGGGCAATTTTTGCCCTCCCCAGCTCCGGAGGTTTTCCTCGAGCCTCTGGAGGGCGAAAACAGCCTCCCCAGGCTCCGGAGGCCCTCTGGAGGCCCTCTGGAGGTCTTCCCGAACTTCTGATAGGCCTGTTTTTCACCCTTCCCAAACTTCCGGTAAGCCCGTTTTTCACCCTCCCCGAGCCTCCGTGCATGCCCTGCACTTACCTGCATCCAAAACGGGCCGCGTGGGGACTCCTGGGAGGAGCGGGGCAGAGTGGGATTTGAGGGGTTCTCCGAACTGCACAGAATCTTAGCTAGAGGTCTTTCCGAACCTCCAGCAGCCCACCCCTGATTAAGCTATAATATAATTTGCAATGCCTGTTGCTTGTTCACCCAGGTTTAGGGGTTCTGGTGTCATCTGAGTCAAGGCATGGGAACCAAACTCGGCTACTTCCTTGCAAAAATTCAAAGCACCAGAGACCGAAGACAGTTCCCGAGCTTACATTGGCCTAAATGTTGACAAGGTGTGAACCAGAATATTTCGATAAATCCCAATATGGGTTTGCCAAGCCTGTTATGGCTTATTCACCCAGGTTTGGGGGGGGGGGGCTCCTGAGCTTGGGGAGGCAAGGCACAGGGACCAAACTCAAGCTTCCTTTTTGCAACTGGAATTCAAAGCGATGGAGGACTGAAGGCACAGTGGCGCAGTGGTTAAAGTGCAGTATTGCAGGCAAACACTGCCCGCAGCCTGGAGTTCGATCATGACCGGCTCAAGGTTGACTCAGCCTTCCATCCTTCTGAGGTTGGTGAAACGAGGACCCAGATTGTTTGGGGCGATCGGCTGACATTGTAAACAGCCCAGAGAGCGCTATAAAAGCATTACGGGACAGTATATAAAGTCTAAATGCTACGGTGGCATGCTAGAGTGCCTCAGAATCAGGAGGCTGTGAGTTCAATCCTAGGTAGAGGCAGGTATTTCTCTCTCTGGGCATGATGAGAATATATCTGCTGAATATAACTCCGCATTGGCGACAGGAAAGGCATCTGGCCAGCTCAATTCAGCTGCCCAGACTCCACCCCGCAAAGGATTATGGGGTCATTAAAAGAAGATGATGATATAAAGCAGTGATGGCTAACCTTTTCTGGACTGACTGCCCAAAGCGCATGCACACATGTGTGTACGGCTCCCTGCATGCACCCTGCCCCCCATGCATGCACGAGCACCATGTGCCCCACCCCCACTTATGCACGCACGGCCCCCCGCACATGCCCTGCCCTTTGGGTGGTAGACACCCAAAAACCAGCTGACTTGGCGGGAGGCGTGCACGCATGCACAGCAGAGCTGAACTGGGGCGCCATCAGAGTGGGCACTGCGTGCCACCTCTGGCACACATGCCATAGGTTCATCACCACGGATATAAAGTCTACATGCTGTTGCTATTTCCTGAGCCTATTTTCATCTAAACATTGACAAAACTTGGTTTTGGATGTTTCCCCAGTGCCTCAATCTTGGCAGCTCTGAATAACCGCAGCCGGACTTCCCTCCCTCCCTCTCCTTGGCATTTCGCTTCCGAGAGAAACGTCCTTGGGGGAGGGGAGGAAGGCCAATCCCCCATCACAAACTCCTTTCAAGCAAGCTGCATTTGTACCACTGGCAGGATCAGCGTGTTTATTGTGAACACAGTCTAGGCGCCGGGACCCAAAGGGACTCGGTGCTGGGTGCCAGGCCCAAGGGAGGAGAAGAATGCCCCCCTCGTGCCCCCCTCCCTGGGCACCCCAGCATTCCCACAATGTATGATCTGCAGGCTTCTTCCGGGCAGTGGAACATCTCAGCATTTCCAAGGCCAGCTGAGCAGCCAACATCTCTCCCCGCCGGCCCCCTCCCCCAGTATTTGTCCAGTTCTCGCTGTACTCCGAGGCGCCTGCGTTTTCTTAAAAGAGTGAAATTGAAAATTTCTCTTGTCAAGCAGCCCCTCCTGCCTTCCTTAAGAGCCATTCTTGATTTCAGCCAGAAACTGTTGAGCCCACCAGTCTTCGAGATCAATGGGAACAAAATCTGAAAGAGGGAAGTTAGATTAGATTAGAATTCTTTATTAGCCAAGTGTGATTGGATACACAAGGAATTTGTCTTCGGTGCATAAGCTCTCAGTGTACATAAAAAGACAAGATGCATTCATCAAGAATCATAGAATAGAATTAGAATTAGAATTAGAATTAGAATTAGAATTAGAATTAGAATTAGAATTAGAATTAGAATTAGAATTAGAATAGAATAGAATAGAATAGACTAGAATAGAATAGAATAGAATTCTTTATGGGCCTAGTGTGATTGGACACACAAGGAATTTGTCTTGGTGCATATGCTCTCAGTGTACATAAAAAAAAAGATACATTCATCAAGAATCATAAGGTACAACACAATGATAGTCATAGGGTACATGATATAGGGTATATAAGTCTAAGTGCTCTTGCCGATTAGCTGTGGTGGCAGAGTGGTTAGAATGCAGTATTGCAGGCTAATTGTGCCAACTGCCAGCGGCTCAAGGTTGACCCATCCATCCATCCTTTGGAGGTCGGTAAAATGAGGACTCAGATTGTTGGGGGCAAGAGGCTAACTCTGAGAGGGCTGTAAAGCACCGTGAAGCAGTGGTGAAATCCCACCGGTTCGCACCGGTTTGGGGGAATCAGTAGTGATAAAAGCTACCGGTTCGATAAACCGGTAGTTAAAAAAAACTACCGGTTGGTCCAAACCGGTATTTCCAACGATCAGCTGTGCCGCATGATTTAAAATTGCTAGAAAGCAGGAAATCTTGCTTTCTAGTGAATCTAAATCATGCAGCACAGCTGTTCCCCCCATCCCTCGCTGTTCTACTTACCTTCCCAAGCCTCCTTTTTCCATGCAAAGTGCACGTTTGGCGAGTACTGCACATGCGTGTGTGCGCAGTGTGCATTTGGCACGCATGGTGCATGTGCGCGCAGTTTGCGTTTGGCACGCACTGAGCATGCAGTGAACCGGTGGAAGATTTCACCACTGCCATTAAGCGGTATATAAGTCTAAGGGCTATTGCTACTGCTATTTCTCCTATGTTGTCGAACACTATTTCTCAACCTTAGCAACTTTAATGCGGGTGGGCTTCAGCTCCCAGAATTCCCCAGCCAGCTTGCTTCTACTTGGACTTGGGAGGAAGCAAAAGGTTGTTTCCTTACTCACCTTTCAGCTCTGGGCTGGGTGTTTTCTCTGTGTATTGGATTGGGCCAGATCCACCATCTCCCTGCTCTTGACTGTGGAGCTGCTCTTCCACTTGTTGCCATGCTAAAAGCAGGAAGAAAAGAACATACAGAACATACAAACTAAAAGCCTGTAGTACAGCGGACTAAAGCACTGTTATTAACATCAGCTGCTTGCAATTACTGCAAGTTCAAATCTCACCAGGCTCAAGGTTGACTCAGCCTTCCATCCTTTCAAAGGTAGGTGAAATGAGGACCCAGTTTGTGGGGGCAATAAGCTGACTTTGTATAAATATACAAAAGGATGAAGGCTATTGCTGAGCGCATTGTAAGCCGCCCTGAGTCTCCGGAGAAGGGCGGCATATAAATTAAAGCAAAAAAAATAAAAATAAAAATACAACCGTTCATTTAGTGACCATTCAAAGTTACGACGACACAGAAAAAGGTGACTTATGACTGTTTTTCATGCTTACGAATGTTACAGTATCCCCCTGTGGTCCCGTAATCAAAATTCAGATGGTTGGCAACTGACTCATAGTTACGACAGTTGCAGTGTCCTGGGGAGTGGGGGTGGGGGGTGTCACTTGATTCCCCTTTAGCGACCTTCCGACAAAGTCAGCGGGGGAAGCCACATAACCACCAGATTACTTACTTACTGACTGCAAGGATTCACTTAGCAACCGTGGCAAGAAAGCTCGCAAAATGGGGCCACTCAACTGTCATGCTTAGCAGCGGGAATTTTGGACTCAGTTGTGGTCCTAAGTCAAGGACCCTCCCCCATAAGGTTTGAAATGGCCCCCAAATTGAGGGATGGTCTCCCTCTATAAGAACGTAAGTCAAAAAAAAGTGCTAACAGCCTCCTGATTTTGTTGCCCTAGGTTTAATTTGTGCCCTTGACAAGAACAACACAACAGCAAACAAGATGTTGGATAACCATTTGTCTGAAGTGGTGTAAGGTTTCTTGCCTAAGCAGGGGGTTGGACTAGACCTGTGACGGCGAACCTATGGCACGCGTAGCCATATCAGTGGGCATGTGATCTCAGCTCCGGCATGCATGCGTTTGCCAACCAGCTAATTTTCAGGCCTTTTGGGCCCACCAGAAGTAGGGAAACAGGTTGTTTCCTGCCTCAGGAGGGCCTTGTGGGGTGGTGGGGAAGGCCCGTTTTTCTCTCACCTGGTTCCAGAGCCTTTCTAGGAGTCTGGGGAGGGCAAAAACGGCCTTCCCCAGCCCCCTGGAGGCCCTCCAGAGGCCAGAAACGGCCCGTTTGCCAACTTCCGGTGGGACTGGAAGGCCCGTTTTTTGCTGTCCCCAGCCTCCAGAGCCTCTTTAGGAGTCTGGGGAGGACGAAAACGGCCTCCCCCGCCCGGAGGTCAGAGGCCAGAAACGGCCCATTTGCCAACTTCCCATCGGAAGCCTACCGGGCCATCGCATGCCAGGAGCAGGAAGGGCGGTCGCACGTATGCACGGGGGCGGAGTGCATAGAATTATGGGTGTGGGCATGTGCATGTGCAATCGCCCCCACAACTCCGCCTCCTGCCACGCGATGGCAAAAAGGTTAGCCATCACCAGACTAGAAGACCTCCAAGGTCCCTTCCAACTCTGTTATTCTATATTCTAAGGCACTGGGGCTCCATCGGTGTTTTGACTTCCTCCTAGAACAGCATTTTTTTGGACTTCAACTCCCAGATTTCTTCAGCCCACATGCTGGGAGTTGGGGAATTCTGGGAATTGAAGTCACGCTTGAAGCCTCCTGTCAAGAGTCAGCCAGAAGCTAACTTACCTTCGTACACAAACCGGACATTTTCTTCGTGAGCTACGGTATAGTTTTCCTCTATGGTTGTGGGGGGTGAGATCATCAACGGGGGTCTCTTTCCATTGACCCTGTTGAACACAAGCTTGGGAAGGGGGCTGCAAAGAGAAAAGAGAAGAGAAGAGGATTTTATTTGGGGTCCGTTAGGAATACGGGTACTCCTGGACTTACGACCTGTGGTTTAAGGGCTGTTCAGAGTTTGCAAAATTCACATGACCACCATATATGAATATATATATATCTATATCTCTATCTATCTATCTATCTATCTATCTATCTATCTATCTATCTATCTATCATCTATCTGCTTTTATCATCTATCTTCTCTTATCTATATCTATATCTATCTATCTATCTATCTATCTATCTAAAACGATCTAATAAAACCACTTTTTTCAGAGTAGTACCATAAAATTATAGATCAATGGAAAGATCATTTAATCAAGAATGTTGTGCAATCACTTTTAGGAAGGATTTGCTATTAGTATAGCAGTTATAGTATAAAAAAGAAAAGTGAAACATGTAGAAAAAACAAGATCTGCAAAAATTATCACCATAGAAAAAATGAGATATGCAAAAATTATCACCGTGTCAGTTATTCCTTAGTTGGGTAACCTTTAACATGAATTATGGCCTTACAACGTCTTCCCATGGAGTGAGCCAAGTCTTTTAGTTCTGCAGCTGTTATCATGTGAAACCAAGATTGAAAGATTGATTCTATTAACTGGGTTTTATTGCTGGGTGGCTTCTGACTAACTAGTTTCTTTAATCGGTTCCATAGATTTTCAATTGGGTTAAGGTCTAGACTATTCTCAGGCCATTCCAGCAGTGGAATAGGATTCTCTTGAAACTCCCCCCCAAAAAAGTGGTGCTATTAGCCATCAAACCTCAAAAATACACTTTTCCCAAAAGGTTTCCACAATTTTGGCCACTACTGTATATACAATGCTCAAAATAATAAAGGGAACACAAGCAGAAGACATCCGAGATCTGAATGAATGAAATAGCCTTATTAAATACTTTGTTTGTTACATACAGTCGTTTTGTGTTCCCTTTAGTTGTTTGAGCCGTGTATAAACTACTGTATGTAAAGAACAAAGTATTTAATAAGGCTATTTCATTCATTCAGATCTCGGATGTCTTCTGCTTGTGTTCCCTTTATTTTTTTGAGCAGTATATATAAAGGAAGAAGGGTTCACCATCCATCATCCAAGCTAATACTTGCGCTGGTTCGTCCAAGGGATTTAACAGTCCATTTTTAATCTTTCCTAATCCTGAGTCAGATTAGTGAAAGAGCCACAATCTTTGGCACAGGATGGTTAGAAGATTGCATCAGCCTTCAAAGGAGATGGATCGGAGCCCTAATAAAAGGGAGAGTCCCTGGGTATAAACATCAAAAGAATCACACACCAGATCGGAGGCTCCATGCCTCCTGCTCGCTCCTCTACCAGAACCATTTTTTAATTGGCACGGAATTTGTAGAAAATCAATTTGGAATTGAATTTCCAGACCCGATCTGAATTGGAATTCCTAACGAAGCTGTGTGTGTGAATCCAGATTGGAAGCACTTGTGAGAAAAAATGTAGAGAAGAGCAACCAGGATGATGAGGGGACTGGAGGCTAAAACATACGATGAACGGTTGCAGGAACTGGGCCTGGCTAGTCTAGGGAAGAGAAGGACCAGGGGAGACAGGATAGCAGCCTTCCAATACTTGAGGGGCTGCCCCAGAGAGGAGGGGGACAAGCTATTTTCCAAAGCACCCAAAGGCCAGACAAGGAATAATGGATGGAAACTGAACAATGAGAGATTCAACCTGGAAATAAGGAGAAATTTTCTCACAGTGACAGCAATCGACCCATGGAACAGAAGTTGCCTTCGGAAGTTGTGGGAGCTTCATCAATGGAAGCTTTCAAGAAGAGACGAGACTGCTATCAGTCAGAAATGGTGTAGGGCTTCATCACTTGAGACTTTCAAGAAAAGATTGGACTGCTGTTTGTCAGAAATGGTGTAGGTTCTCCTGCTTAGGTGGGGTGGGTGGGTGGGGTTGGACTAGATGACCTACAAGGTCCCTTCCAACTCGGTTAATCTAATCTAATTCTTGCTTCCTTTTGCAAAATCTGTGAAATCCAGCCGCTCAGGTTTGCAGTTCAGGTCAATCCAATAGGTTATTTTCTACTCCACGTACAGATCCTCGACCACAATCGAGCCCAAAATTTCTGTCGCTAAGCAAGACATTTGTTCAATGAGTTTGCCCCACTTTTGCAACCTTTCTTGCCACGGTCGTTAAGTGAGTCACTACAGCTCTGAAGTTAGTAGCATGGTTGTGATGTAAATCCGGCTTCCCAATTAACTTTGCTTGTCAGAAGATTGCAAAAGGGGATTATGCCACCCCGGGACACTGCAACCGTTATAAATACGGGTCAGTTGCCAAACATCCATGACTGTGGGGATGCTGCAATGGCCATTAAGTGTGAAAAAACACAGGAATAAGCCACTTGTCTCAGGGCCGTCATAACTTCGAACTGTCTCTGAACAAAGTGTTGTAAGTTGAGGACTCCCTTGCATTGGTGCAAACGAGAACTTCCACGAGCAAGCCTAAGATTTCAGCCTGCATTGGCAATTCCTCAAACGTGAGCGTTTTCAGTTTTGAACCGTCATTAAGCAAGCAGCTGTAAGTCGAGGACTATCTGTATTCCTTGAATGAAGAGGCAAGGCTAATTCTACTCCTCTTACTACTAATAATATTTCTCCTTTTGTTCAAGAATATGCAAGTCACTATCTCGGATGCGATTCTGGACTTTATCCCAGTTTCTAAGTTCTCTGGGGCAGGAGTCCAATGGCATATGACCCAAATCCTTCCACCTGATCGCACTTCCACAACATCAAGCAAATCACATGTTGTTTATTCTTCCTTCCCAAACCTCCTCCTCCTCCTGTGTCCCATCCAGGCCCTCTCCCAAATTCTCGTTGCAACTGGACACGCATTTTTTTCAAGGTCAGTAGAACAAACGGTCATTGTAAAAAAAAAAAAAAGAACAGCCAGCACCAAAGCTGAAAGAGACACACAACAGTGGGAAATGTGACAGCGCAAAATCTGATCGAAGGGGAACGATACGCACCTACAGTAGTGGCCAAAATTGTGGAAACCTTTTGGGAAAAGTGTATTTTCTAAAAGTAGCTAATAACACCACTTTTTTTGGGGGGATGTATAAAATTATACATCAATAAAATTATACATCAATGGAAAGATAATTGAATCAAGAATGTAATGCAATACCTTTTAGGAAGGATTTGCTATTAGAATAGCAGTTACAGTAGAAAGAAGAAACAGGATGAAAAAAACGAGATGTACAAAAATGATCACCATAGAAAAAACGAGGTATACAAAAATGATCACCATTTCAGTTAATCCTCAATTGAGTAACCTTTAGCATGAATTACGGCCTTACAACGTCTTCCCATGGAGTGAACCAAGTCTTTGAGTTCTGCAGCTGTTATCATGTGAAACCAAGATTGAAAGATTGCTTCTATTAACTGGGTTTTATTGCTGGATATGAGTAACAAGTTTCTTGAGTCGGTTCCATAGATTTTCAATTGGGTTAAGATCTGGGCTATTCCCAGGCCATTCCAGCAGTGGAATAGGATTATCTTGAAACTCCCAAAAAAAGTGGTGTTATGAGCCATCAAACCTCAAAAATACACTTTCCCAAAAGGTTTCCACAATTTTGGCCACTACTATTTGTTGACGTTCGTCCGACCTTAGTCTGGTGCCTTCCCAGCCCAAATTATATATTTTATTAAATACACTTTGAGATAAATGCCTTTTTGGGGAGGTGAGGGGAGAAAAAGCTTCAGAGAATGAATTGCACCATTTTCCGTCCCCTTTCCATGCCTAAACATTGCAATGACTAGATATCATTTTCCCCCCGCTCCACTCCATGAGGTCTAGAATTTTGTGCAAAAATAGAAAGAGGAAACTTTGCAAACTACCACCTGAGCTATGTATATAATACAATGGTACCATAGTCTTAACTCTGCATTAAACTGTGATTGCTTAAAGATTGTACACAAAAGCACTAAGACAGAGGTTGGCAACCTTAAACACTCAAAGAGCCATTTGGACCTGTTTTCCACAGAAAAGAAAACACCGGGAGCCACAAAACCCTTCCCGTGCCTGACTATTTCCTGAGCGGCCACAAAATTAGCATATGTAGTTGAATTAAACATTCTGTTTTCTTCTGAAACTTTTCTTTTCTTGGATTTATCCATGGTTGGCCTACCGGGGGTCGAAAAGCTCAATAAATCACATGCCAGCGGGTGTTGCACATTGGCAGTTGTGACACATATTTTGAGCGACAGGAAGCCGCAGCAGAGGGATGAAAGAGCCACATGCGGCTCCAGAGCCGCAGGTTGCTGACTCCTACACTAAGACATATCATGGATTAATGGCTCACAGTTGGCTAGGCACATATACAACATAAATTACATCTTAGTTTTGTTGCACCTAATTTAGCCCACAGGATTTCTATATAGTCCAGCATATTCTCACCAATGTAGACACCCAAAGAAAACTATGATTCCCTTAACCATGATCAAGCCTATCCTTCAAATGCAGCTAAATGAATGTATCAGAGGTGGGTTTCAGCAGGTTCTGGCCAGTTCTGGAGAACCGGGAGTGGACATTTTGAGTCATTCAGAGAACCGGTAGTAAAAATTCTGACTGGCCCCATCCCCATCTATTCTCTGTCTCCCAAGTCCCAGCTGATTGGGAGGGAATGGAGATTTTTACAGTATCCTTCCCCTGGAGTGGGGTGGGAATGGAGATTTTACAGTATCCTTCCCCTGCCATGCCCAAGTCACGCCCACCAAGCCACACCTACAGAACCAGTAGTAAAAAAATTTGAAACCCACCACTGTTTCCAACTATTTTCTGGCTTAGGATCTTGGTTTTAAGAGGTAAGGGGCGCTTTGGTGTCCCCTGGGTTACTTCACGCTTCCGTGAACTCTTCCTAGCCAGAAAATGGGTTAATTTCGTTACATCATTTAACGTGTGTTGTGCAAACGCTGCTATAAAGTAAGGAGAGATTTTTATGAAGC